CGTCTGGCGGGGAGAGCGCGAAGGGACGCCTGCCTTTGCCTGCCTGCCAGCCTGCCAGCCCTGAACGCCCGCCGTCGCGACGCCCAGAGGCGCCGGCGTTCCCGAGCGTCCGCGGAATCGCACGAGTTAAGACGCGAGCCACCAGTCGCTCGGCCGCCGCCAACCTGAAAGGGTTGGCTCGATGCGCCGGCCCATGCACCACTTCTCTCTATCCGCACTCTCCCTCTCCATCTCCCGTTTCACGCTCGTTTACCTTCCGTTTATTGTTTTCCCTCGCCCCTCTCCAACCCGAATAAACGAAACCTCGCCGTTTTTCTTACTCGATCGTTTCAATTTTTACCGGATTTTAATATTTTTCTTTTTCTCTTTTTTCTTTTTTTCTTGTTGTCATTTTTTGAAATTAAGAGCTTAAGCTTTTGCACTGGTTTGTGCATTTTTTACTCTTGTGCGAGAGTTTCTGTTCGTTTTTGTATCATTGAGAAGTAATTGATTTTTTTTCTTTTGCGTATATATATATACGACGAATAAACTTTTTCTTTCGATTTTTTATTCGATAAATTGAAATGGAAAAGGATGTAACGCGGTGTAAATTTTAAACGAAGCGCGTATGGGATACGTATCGATAAACGTCACGCATTAAACCGCAAATTGATTGTCACGAAGATCGTTATTGTTCTAATAAATCCCTAATTAACGTAACCTACATTTGCTATTGATACAGCCGATAAATTATATTTATTTTACGATATTGAATTATATCTTATTGTCGGCCGATGCAACTTGATGCGACACGAGGCGAACAGTTTAAGATCGATCGATCGTTATCGATCTGTAATGAAGTGAAATTTTAATCGAAACGGTCGAAATCATTTGAAGCGTAAATTGTGCGACGTTAATTATCGTATCGAAAGTATCGCCGATGATCGATACTGTACGAGAAAGTTTTCGAGACGCGTTTTGACTTGGAAGGAAGTACGTTTCGCTTAGTGCCATCTGCTGTGCAAACATTTCGCACATTATGTCCTGAAAATATTCACTTCGCTCCTACACGAGAATTCGCCCTACAGATGTTTGAACTTTCGGCGATTGGCACCGCTATTTCCATATCTGATGGTTATATCGACTATTACTTTTCGGTTTGAGAACGGTTTCTTGGTGAAAGAAAATACGCCACTAGCGACGATTTATTTGCCTTTTCAATAGAAACGTATCGTCACCATTTGAATCGCTATAAAATGGATGCAATCCTCCATAATCGTTTCGTTCTCGCGACTATTATTCGAATACTTCGTTCGAATAATTTGATAACGCGTTAATTACGGTAGCGCTTATACAAGAGAGAGAGAGAGAGAGAGGGAGGAAGAGATTGTGAATTCAAGTTGCAATGAACTTTCAAGCGTGGCAGCGATGTAACGAAATTTTCATAATTCCTCGAGTTTTTCAAGATTCTGAAAGGGAGGATTCTGGTTTCTTGGAAAGTAATTATGCAGCGAGTGTCTCGTAAAGCATACGGTCTAAAAAGTTTGCCGCATAAGTGATAGAACCGTTGGAGATTCTCTGAACCCTGAGGGCGGAAGTTTAAGTATAAACGACTACGTAGGGACGATGATTTCGCGAAATCTGCTACCGAATCCTCGAGCAATCTACCCCTTTAAAGGATGGCAGACACTCGTTCCAAGTGTTTGTAGCTGTTTGCCTTTGTGTGGAAAATATCTTATCGTTGGATCTTCGATATTCTTCAGGAATTTTCGACCGAGGATATTGTTACCGGAATAAATTTACTTTCAAAGGGAGAGATCTCTACCTCTAGCCCTTGAAACAAATGGCTTTCTTACAATCGTATGCCAACAAGGAACGTCGGATTCTTCCGCGTCCATTTAAGACAACGGTATGCATATTTAAATGAAATCGTGTGTAGATGCATGAAATACATAAAACAAGAGATAAATTAGAATATTTTGGTATTTCTCTGATATATAGATGCATATATATATATATTTCGTGCAACGATATAATTAATTTATCAAATTTATTACGTTACAAATTTTTATGAAAAATAATTACTTCGCAATTTCGGAGGTGCTTGGTTGACAAAGAGTTTTGATAAAAAATGTTTGAAATGTATTTATTTCTTTCTAATTACTCGGCCAATCCCCGATTATACGTATAAATTTTATACAAATGTATAAAAGAGGAAATAATTTTTTCCGTGTATCGAAAAATTAACGAACATTTAAACGGAACAAAAGCTCGATATATCAAATACCTCGGATATTTTCCTATGCGAACATTGAACGATAAGCAATGAATACATTTAACGAAGAATTTGAACCAATTAATATTAAAATCATTGGTTTCATTGTTTTTTACGCGCAGTATAAATATTCGATTAATTAGCCTTTATATCCTGCAATCCGTAATTAACGTTATTATCTTCTATTAATAACCTCGATTCATTAATGAATGCGTATAATAATTAATTATAGAAAGTAATTTTCAGTCTCTTGAAAATCGAAACTTTATCAACGACACGTGTATTATTTTTTCGCTCGTACGCAACATATTTGTGAATGCGTGAGTTCAATTTATAAAAATATATACGTATTTCTTTCTCACTTTTTTTAATATTTTGATATTTACGCATTTTAATATTTTCATCGACCTCGATATCTCGATATTATTTCCAATATTTAATATCGTTTATGTTTAAAATTTCGTACTATTATTTTTTCCCTCCGATACTGTTCGCGTTTCTCATAAACCGAACCTAAAATTTGTAAAATGTATCTATATAATTTTTCAAATATCCGCGTATTTAAATTTGATATGGAGATTTCGAGACAACCAATCAGACTTACGAGCTCTGGCCGAGAGCGGTACGTCTGACCTAATACTAGCCGTATCTACTTATCCATTAAGTGGCGCCGCTCACTGGTGGCAGATCGAACTAGGGTGATTGCAATGCTACTCCCCGCTCGAACACCGAAAGGACTTCACCCCTGTTTTCGGTAACATTGATGCAGGGCAAGGAAAGAAGCTTTGAATTAAATTTTCCTTTGGAATTCCGACTCGAAAAATTATGGGATCGCAATCCAACCCAGTTTCAACGTACGTAAAAATATATTCCTTTGTATTTGAATAAAAATTAGAATTTTTTTTCGTTAATCCCTTTAACAAAGATTCTTTCGTCGAATACTTTCGAATTTCTTACGGTTTATTAATCGTTGAAAACTAAAAAAAAAAAAAAAGGTCTATGTTTTACGAATTTTTAATAAAAAAAAAAAAAA